CACAGGAAAGGGTTACCCTGGATCATAATGGAAGTTTCTTTGCTGCTGCTAATGGATTTGAAATTTTATTGCCTGTGTTTTACTCTCCTTTGTTCCTGGTCCCCACATAGCCAAGAAAGAGAAAGGCCTCGGCTGGCCGACAATGGAATCCCTCCAGATTATCTTAACTAACAACAGAAATAATATCAGTAGGCCTCTGACTCTAGCATCATCATGTTTCTTCTCCTGTATGGTTTTTTAACATTTTTGCCTGATGGTGAAGCCAGTAAAGCTTGAAAAGCTTGCATGATGTATTTTGTACTTTTTAGTTAGCCCAATAAAGGTAGCACTGTTTTGTGGATTTTGTAGTTTGACGTATTCAGACAACAAGAAAGGAAATTCTAATTAAACATTAGAAAGAACCTGATGACAAGAGCTGTTAGAAAAAAAGACTTTTTCTCTGAAGATGCCAGCCACAGATGCTGGCGAAACGTCAGAAAGAAAGTCTTCTAGAACATGGCCACACAGCCCGAAAAACCCACAAAAAACTATGTTCACAAAACGTGTTGATGTGTATGGGGAAAAACCCAAAATGTCCTAAACCAGCCTGGTGCCTTCCAGCATTCTTGACCATTGGCCATGCTGATTGAGATTAATAAGAGCTAAAGTGCAGAACACTACATCAGGGAAAACTGCCTGAGAGAGATAATATATCTACCTTGAATGTAGTTTTTAATACTGAAGATTGGTGTACAAATTAAATGCTAATATAGAAAGAAGGAAGCTGGTATATAAGACTCATTGAAGAATGGACATCCCTGTTGCTCCTGAATTGTTTGTTAATGCTCATGATAGTAAGGGCTTTTGCTACCTTTCCCAAGATACTTTTGTCCACTCAAGGGAAAGGTGTTACTTTCCGCCTTTTTTGCAGAAGGCATTTTGTTGCCCAAAGTGGAAGATCAAGATGGCATTCCAGCTGACTAGACAGCTGATTAGACCTGCTGATTTTACTGCAGTGGAAATTCATTCTCCACCACTACCTGAGGGCAGCAGACTGGCTTAAAGGCAACAGAACTGGGATGCTAAATTCTGTCCTCTAACAGAAGGGAACACTACAATCCCTTCTCCACAATGGGATGGCTACTATCACTATGAATAGCACCCAACTATTGTATTTCCTCCTACACTTATGCATTGATGTACTCTGTGTCATCCACCCCAATAGGGCTCATTCTGCCCTTAGTGCAGGATCTAACAGACAGCACTGAAAGATAACTGTAGATTAGACTAAGAGAAGGGATCTTGGCGAGAGATTTCTTCCAAATATTGTAGAAAACAAAAGTACCAAATACTTTCCAGCTAAAACTTTCTCATTTCATAGGGTCCTAATGATTGCATTGTCAGCAACAGCAAACAGGACAACAATGTCTGGTTTGATCTGCAATATCAAGACCAGAAGGTGATGCTTCGCATAGGTGACAAGTATGTGTCCATGCGGCCCAATGGACAACTGCTGGCAATTCCAAAAGTTGCAGGTACATGTTGGTAGAGAGGCTGTCTTACAAGCAGAAGGCTTCAGTATTGACAAGTGAACATGAGTGGGTTGGGGGAGAGATGGCCCACTGAAAGCTATAAACTAGCTTTGAATAGTTCGGGGGGGGGGGGGGGGGGGTCTGCAATGGGACCCAGGACCTTTTAGCTCATATTTGCCCGGATGAGTTAAGCAAGGAGGAAACTAAAGTTTACTTCTCAGTCTAACACCATCTTGTGGCAGGCATGTAGCTCGCCAGATGTTGCTGGACTACAGAACAACTTCCATCAGCCCCTCAATACAGCAACATCTGGGGACCACATGTTCCACACCTGTGGTTCATAGACATATCAGGCTGGTCCTGGCTTTTAAAATGTAACATGGGAAGCCAACCTCAAGTCCTTCCTGAGCTTACAGAGCCAGGACACATGGATTTTCTGCTTGAGGTAAAAAGAGAAGATGGTGCTCTCTGCCAATTCCATGTAAAGAAACGGATCAGAGTGGCAGATGAATCTCACTTCAATAATGGCTGCTTTACCATGTAAGAGAACTGCATGCTAGTTTAAGTTGTGAGAAACCAGCTGTCTGGTAAGTGTACCACTGCAACACCATACCATGTTGCTGCCCCTTCCTGATCTACCATTTGATGTACCTACCTAATGGTAGATGTGGTTATTTCTGTGTCCTGATTTTGGAGATTTTAATAGCTCGAGGCACGGGTTTCTCATTTGTCAACAGTAACTAGAAGTCACAGAACACTGCCCTTGCAGGACAGGATACAGTATGAGCAAATACAGGCTGCTTTTTACTCTGCTCTCCCTCCACCCCTCTTCCCAAAGACTACATGTGAAGGTTTAACATTGGTTTTGTAGTATGATTTCTCTCAAACTCCTGTTACATGTAGCTTGGAAATTGACTTTCTCTGCGTCAGTGACACAGTTCTGAAAAGCTGAGGCACATGGGTTTTGCAGAGTGAATGTATAGGTAAGGAAACACTATCAAATGTTTTCTCTTGCAATTCCAGGAAAAATTGAAGATTTCTTGCTGTTGCTGGTGAACCGGCCACTGCTAGTCCTACACAGCGATGCAGGCTATGTGGGGTTATGCTCTGATTTGAGACGGTTGGAAGGAAACTGTGTCAGCTATGTTGCCAGCAGTCTGTCACTGACAGAGGAAGGCTACTACAATTTTCAAATTGGTTAGTATATCCTGCACTGAACAATGCCCTTTATAACTAGAGTATCTACATCATGAAAATAGCACGGTTGCATTAGTGATAACAGCCATTAGAGATTTTTTAAAATGAATACTAGAACAAAAGTCAAAATTCATTTTCATCCTCCCCACCCCAAATCAAAGGAAGGCAGGAGACAGGGCAGTCCTACTATGTCTCTAGTAAGCTAAACTGGCCCCCCTGCCTATTAGGTTTCCTCACTGGCACATGGAATCTAGACTCCCAGGCCTAGTTGAAGACAACTACTGTTTGGATGCAATCTTTTGTAGCATTCCTTTATAAAGCCCTACTTTACTTTCTATAGATGTCTCCCTCAACCTGACATCCTCCAGGTATTTTGAAAAACCACTTTCTGACCATTAGCTATGCTGGCTAGGGGCTGAATGGAGTTATGACTAGCACATCCTAATAATCTAATTTTCCTTCAATCAACTGAGTACTAGAAGTCAGTGATATTCAAAAGTGTAGTTTGTTATGTCTCCATCTTCTCTGATCGACCCCCCCTCCCCCCCCATTTGATCTGCAGGCAGCAAGTACTGGGCCTTGGAAAAAGATGGACAGATTGCCATTACCAATGACCGTCCCACAAATTTCACCATCCAATTTGCATCCTCGAACTGCCTTATAATCAGGGCAGGCAACAGGTTTTTGGTGGCTGAACAAGGAGGACGATTGATTGCTGGGGCTTCAGACGCATCTGGTGCAACTCTGTTCCATTACTGAGGGCTTTTAACCTGCCGCATTCATTAATAAATGTCTGCAAATGGCACTTCTTACTACAGATGTCCCAGAACAACCTTTCCCCAATTTCTAGGGAACTACTCTTCTTTTGCAAGAACCATATAACTGGCTTTTCCCTACATCTGAAACAGAGCATTATGTACTTTCAGTATGAACTGGTGCTGAGTTTCCTAACGTGGTGAAAGGAATGAAAGTCCTGGACTGAGCCTATCCTGGTCTCTTTAATGCAAAGTTAAATATTCCCATACCCCTGAGCGTGCTGCTGAAGCTTTCTGCACAGTTGGATTATTGGCAAAAGTATCTTCACCTTAGAACATATGTATCCTTTATCAGGGAGTGAGGGCGAGCACTACAGTCCTCTTCATTAGTTTAACTAGCACAGGTGTACTAGAGAGGAACTCCATGTAACTACAGGAGTTGAAAAATAAATATTTATTCCACAGATACAGTAGAAAACCAAGTATCACAAATTGTCAACACATACTACAACAATACTGAGTGAGGGAAGGGGCCTAAGACCCACTGCCCTCAGCCCCATGACCTTGCAGGAATAGGGCACAAGAGGTAACAGAGTTAGGAAGGGCTGGACACAAATGCCATAATGAGCTTCACTGCGCACACACTAGATTCTTGATCCCATGTCAGAACACCTTATTCTGAAGAATTTGAAGGACACAGCAGCTGCAGCCATGATCTATATTATCAAGCAGAGCTCAGTGGTCCAGCTGTTCAGTTGGAATGAAGAAACTGTCATCTTCCAAAAGGAATGCTAGGTGATGGTGGGGAAATGTTAGGACCTGTCACTGATGACTCAAAATCCTGCTGCTGGCTGCTTGTCTGGACATGTCTGAAGCAAAAAGATGTCTGCTGCATCTTCTTTCAGCTTGCACAACTGAACCCGAAACCTCTTCTTGGCCCAGCCAAGGAAATGGAGGGTTCCTCCAGCCTCGCTCTTCAGTCTCCATATGATGGAGCCCAGGTAGCTTCTCAGTATGAATCCAAGCTTTCAGAAAAGAAAGGGCACAACAGAAAATGTTAGTAATGGCAATTCCAAATGCCTTGCCTCTCAGCCAAAGCAAGCAGGAATGTATTAAACTGACATTCCACTACTTGAGGAAACAAGCTAACCAACACAACAAATGAGAGGCATGCAGTTACCATAATGATGAACCTGCAAGAAGCTAAATCCAAGAGCACTCACAGAAAAGCTAGGAATAATGTTCAGAAGTCCTTAGTTATCATAGACTATTTCCCATTGATATTAATGGGGGAGGAATATGTAGCTCATTACTAGAGTACACACTTTACATTCAAAAGTTCTCTGCTTAAATTTTTGGCATGTAGGATTGGAAAGAAGGGCTTAGAGTCAAAAATCCAACTTGAAACCCTGAAATGTTATTGCAAATCAGTGTAGAATAGGCAATGGAATCATGCAGCCCTCCAGAGATAGTTGGAATGCATCTACCAATATAACCAATGGTGAAGATTTCTGGGAGTTATAATTTAGTACCAAGAATCAGTGTGGTGCGGTGGTTTGAGTGTTGGACTATGAATCTGAATACCAGGGTTTGAATCCCTGCTCAGCCATGGAAACCCACTAGGTGACCTTGGGCATGTCATACTCTCTCAACTTCAGGGGGTGGCAAACCCCCTCTCAACAAATTATGCCAAGAAAATCCTGTGATAGGGTCACCATAAATCAAAAATGAAGGCAAACAATAATAAGCTAGCACCACCTGGAGAGCCACATGATTCTCACTTTGGTGTAGCTAACTGAGAGCTAAATGGACCCAAATCTGTCTAAATATCTCTTTCCCTAAAATAACAAAAATGGTTCACAAGATGGTACCTGGAGAAGGCGGCCAGGGTAAGAATGCCCAGCAACAGCTCAACAGCATAGAAGAGAAGAAGGATAGCATTGAGGATGGCTTCCAGCCTCAGGGCATAGGTCTGCAGTAGCAGATAGTAGGCTGCCATCACTGCTGCTGGAAAGGTTAGTGCCAAACTAATGGCAAGTGGTACTTTCCGTTGACACAGATTCCCTTTTGAACCTGCCACACACAAAATATGACAAGTGATGAACTTAAGACAGATTTAGTAAAAAATCTAAAATATTCAGGAGGTTAGACAAGATATAAGGCCAGGGCCAATCTAAGACATTTTGATGCCTGATGAAGAGCAACAAATGGCTCCACCTACTCACAGCAAGCTACAAAGAACTCAAATCCAGCCAAAGTATTTTGGTATATCGTATATACTCGTGTACAAGTCGACCTCATGTATGAGTCGAGGGAAGGTTTCAGGGTCAAAATCTTGGATTTTGATATAACCCGTGGATAAGTCGAGAGTAAAACTTAGGGGGCTATAAGGAAGAATGGAAAGGGGGAAATGCCACATCCATCCCTCCTCCTCCTTTGGACCCCTCCCAACCACCAAACACCAATTCTCAGGTGCTGGAGAAGAGGTTTCAACATCAGATTAGGAAGGGAAGCAATTTGATTTAAATTGAGTGTTTTCTATGGGAAGAAAGGTTTTGCAAAATGGACCAGAGAGAGAGGCAAGTGGATTTAAACAGACAGTGTTTTCCATAGGAACAAGGTTTTGCAAAACAGACTAGAGAGAGAGGCAAGTGGATTTAACTGGAGAGTGTTTTCCATAGGAAGCAAGGTTTTGCAAAACAGAGTAGAGAGAGAGGCAAGTGGATTTAGCTAGAGAGTGTTTTCTATAGGAAGCAAAGTTTTGCAAAATGGAGTAGAGAGAGACGCAAGAGGATTTAACTGGAGAGTGTGTTCCATAGGAAGCAAGGTCTTGCAAAACACACTGGGGAGGAATTGGTGTTAAATGGAGAGTGGGACATCAGGCTTGCATGTTTTAGGACCTTTGTAAGCACTACTGGTATATTGACCTGTATATAAATTGACTCAGGATTTTAGGATCAATTTTGGGGCGTAAATTTCTCGACTTATAGTCTAAGTATAGACAGTACAAGGGGAGGGGGGGAACTAAAGCAAAATCCACAAGTTCTCCCCAGTTATGGCAGTAATAACACAATAACCTATCTATTGTTTACTGCCCTTTCATGACACACAATATATGCTGCCTGAAACAGTTGCTCCACTCCACCTCACGGCAGAGCCAACCTTCTGTGGCATTCTTCTTAACGCACACTTATATTCTGCTCCAATATGCAAAGGGATCTTGCTACACCACTGAGACTAACTGAATCTAGAAATTGGTAGCATGAGCTTTCATAGACTTGAGGCTACTTCCTCAGATGCATCAGATCCTTTTGCTATTCAGAAGCCCACAAACATATTGCAGAATTTAATTCCAATTAATATCAACAAGTGGCATTTTGGATTTTACAGCTTCACATACAGTAGTTCTAGCTTAGTGCCAGGTTAAGACAGCTAGCCAGACTGGATGGATCCCAAATATTTACTGCATTTCATCTTGGGTTGCCTAGGCCCTTATTTCTTTATGAACCAGAATGTAATAGACTGTCTGGGGAAGAATGGAAAATACATTGTTCTTTTTTATTTCATCTTGAGGTCCTTTTTCCTAATGTTAGGAAGGCCTAGAGATGATATGTTAATGGCAATCACCTTCAAATACACTATTTCGACCCACTCAGGCAAACTGCAGAATTTGTCCTTGTCACATGTGCTGATTTCTGATGTTAGGATCCATTGTTTGATACTCACCAAAAAAAATCCTTGTGACTTCAATCCCAAGGTAGAGGAAGAGCATAACCAGATCTAAAGCCAGATTGGCAGAAGGATAGGGCAGAAGGAGTCCTATGGAGATATACATGTATAAAAAAGAAAAAGAAAAAAAATCAGAAAAGTCTGATACCTCTTCTCACATGCTAGGCTGAATTCTCTGTTAGTCCTAACTTGAGTAAACCCACTGAACTAATGAGATTTAATTGTGTGTTGACTCACTATTCAACAACTGATTAAATGAATCTACTCTAATTGGTACCGACCAACAGGATGCCAGCTACTGTGTTTTTTAAGAAAATTAATTAGTACCTAAGGCTGACTTTAACAATAAGAAGCATGATAAGAATGGTTCTGCAAAGATCTTGAACTTGGAAACAACTAGTAGCTAAGGCTAAGTGGTTTGTGAATCAGAAACAACATTCACCCAATTCTAGGCTTTTTTCCCTTTTCTCTAAGGAAAGCCACAAAGTAGATATACCCCAAATAATACATTTCGCAGAAGGGGAACCCGGACATGCTCTTACATACTTCCCTCCAAACCCTCAGAGCTGTAGCTACAACTCACCTTTATAGACAAATATGAAAATCTCCAGCAGGAAATATGTGGCATAATACCAGCCATTGAGGAACAGCAGAATCTCCAAAGGGGTAGAGGACAGCTGACGATCTGGAGGTACAAACTAGAACATGAATATATGAGGAAGGCCTTTCTTTGTCCCACCCACATTTTCTCTCAGATGAGCAGAGCCACATTTTCTGGGTTGCTGCATTAATAATATGCCACCATTTCATACACTGAGTCCCGTGTGGAAAGAAACTACCTTATTTTCCTGCGTATAAGACTACTTTTTTACCTGC